GCAAATTTTTACTCATTCTAGGTGTACGACTTCCCATATGGGTGATAAACATGCTGACAAAATTTCACCTACTGGTTTCCTGCTAATTTTCGAGTCATCACAGTGCGAATTGCGAATTTTGACGTGAACACACGCGTGCACCACGCGTGCATAATAGCTGAATTTGAAATCTTTAGCTCAGATATGCACAAAGAATATCCCTGCAAAGTTTCAGCTTTTCATCTTGTTTGGTTCGCGAAATCGTTCCCCGCCAAAGAAATTTATATACTTTCTTTCAGGGGTCCGTACGCGAGATCTACATGCATATGAGCGAAGATTTAAAACAGGAGAGTGACACATGAGGTGGGAATACGCCCGGAACTTCCACCCTCCCAGCTTCCCCGGCTGCTGAGTTGAAAGTAAATGACAAAGTTTACTCTCTTAAGAACACACATACACATCGACAACATGCGTTTTTGCTCGCTGTAGCAGTGCTATAGCGCTGCAACAAAAACGCATAAAAATGAAAAAAAGAGAAAAAAAAAAACAAATAGCTATAAAGACCTGTGCTTGTAGGTGCACTTTATCCTCCAAACTGCTCTATTAAACAGCCCGGATTAAAGATTCAAATAACGTGCGAAGCACAGCAAAATGAAATTCTGCAGCATGTAGCAAATCTGGTCCTTACTCACCCGAGGCACAGTTTGAGTTCCAGTATGTGGCTGGATGATATTAGATTCCTAGCCATTTCAAGACTAGTCTTTGACTAAGACCATGACATTTCAGCCCTTTAGTTTCTAGTAGAGAAGCTGAAAATAAATGACATGTTTGGAAACACACAGAGACAGATGCCGGTGTGTGTGTTCGTGTGTTTTCTTGCTCATTGTGCACAGAGGCTTAAAATTTAGCTGCTATGCTGAATTTTCACATCCTCGTGCAGCATGCCCCACATTCCGTGAGGGAGATTAATAGAAAGGTTTGAAAAATGAAACAACAATTGACGGGTTCGGCACTTCATTTGCTATTAATGGAAAGGAGGGGCGTGATGGCCGGCTGCGCAAGTTGTCAATGTTGTCCTCGTTTTGAACCTCTACAAATAGCATATATTTTGCTCGAGTTCCGGCTACAGGCTTCAGTGCGTCGCCCGGTAATTCAGTTCTATCTGCCGCCAGTCAAACTGAACTGTATTACGCTGGATTTCATTTCCCTTCTGTTCCATTTGGTGCTGCTGCTTTTCATCTATTCGATGCAAGTCGCTAGCCTAATATGCGTTAATTATCACAAATATTATGAAGACGGTAAATTACGCCTGATAAATCGTGGGACTTGCGGTGCGAGCAACGGTTTCTGCGTTGCCGTGAAGTTCTGGGACAAAGATCCAAGGAGGAAACGTGGCATCTCGTTGGGATGCGACCGAATCGACTGCGAGCATTTCCAGGAACCGGGATATGGCTGGGACTCAAATGGCTGCCGCAAGGATCGTTATCTGGGCAGTGATGGACGAGTGTGTTGCTGTCGGCACGACTTATGCAATCGCTCCAGGAAAACAGTCCACTGCTTCGTAGTTTG